TAGGCTCAAAATCTTTGCTTGTTCTTCCACTAAGCACTGTTGTGGGTACCTTGGCAGCTTCTGAGTGATAAAAATGCATCACTCCATCCTTGCTTCCTAACTTCACAGATACTTTCATTGAGTCTTGACATATACTATGTATGAGAATAAGAAAAAAAATCTCTGCTATAACTATTATCTAGTATTTTTTTAAAAAAATATTTATTTATTTCACTTATATGAGTACACTGTAGCCGGCTTCAGACACACCAGAAGAAGGCATCAGATCTCATTACAGATGGCTGATGGTTGTGAGCCACATTGTGGTTGATGGGAATTGAACTCAAGGCCTCTGGAAGAACAGTCAATGCTCCTAACCTCTGAGCCATCTCTCTAGTCCATAATATCTAGGATTTTGTGTGTCTATAGTATACATTAGTCTGTGCTCAGAATTGTATCTGTCCATCAGTCAATGATATTCAGGACACTAAACTCATAGGAAGGCAAGTTTAAGTAGCTCAAATGCAACAAGAAGGACTATGTGCCTGGGGATGTCAGTGTAGGAGTAAGTTGGAGAGCTTTATTATGTGATTTGGGCGTATCCCAGGTATTCTTAATGTATTAGAAAGGAAATGAACTTATGCTCAAAATGGATGCTATGAAGAATTAAAGACAGTTCAGCAATTAAGCTTCTTAATTTTTGTTATGCTGACAAGAAGACCAAATTGTGGGTTGAGAACAATTGATGAACCTCTTAGTCATATTTATAGTGGCCTTTAGAAATACCATGTTGATGTTCTAATGTAAGTACAGCAGTATGGGTGGTAGGTGAATTCATTTTCATTCTCTCAGATTTCAAGCTTTCCATAATTTGTGATACTACTCCTAAGAAACTGCCACTTTGCCTTGGTAAGGCTTCGTTTCTCATGGGAGCAGAGTCAACCTGCCCAGTCTCTTTTTACTATAATATTTATGAGATTCTTACCCCACTAACTCAGACCAAAGCTAATGAAAGAAACTTTCTGCTCATTAAAGTAAGAATAAAGCTATTTCCAAATCTAAATTACTATGTACATTCTCGGAAAAGAGAAACCATCCATCATAAGAGTGGGTTTCAAAGCAAAGCTTCACTAGATATACTGTTCCTGTGTGTTTCTACCATTTGCTTCTGCCACAAAGTCTTAATGATATTTGTGATATGTTCCATGTGGTTGGCTTATTACCTAATAATAACAACAATTTAATCTTCAGGTGATTATATTTTAGTGGTCATTTTTGAATCATTTAATAACATACATTATACTTGAAATTAAAAGCCTTTAATAAATTGGTTTAGTCTTTACACCATTCTGGGCCTTATTGTATTTTTCTAAGTTGTGGAGAATTAGAATATTTACAAATTGTTAGAGGTGTTATAAAGCTGGGTCACCTCTGGTGGTGAGAGAGATGAAATGAAGTATAAGAGATCTGGACTTGGAGATTCCATTGCTGGCTAGAATCAAAAGCCTAAAAGGCCATGGTGTAAAATCTCCAGATGCCCATTCAACAAGAAAATGAGCTTCATTTCAATGCAGATCAAGACACATTTGACCATTGCCATAAGACTTTCAGAATACAATCTTTATTTTTACTAGATCAGGCTCAGACCTCAGAGTTTCAAGAAACTATCAAATGGAAATATATTTAATTTGAAGAAAGCAAAAGGAAAAAGTGAAGGAGTGTGGGACTGCATAAGGGTATCCTGGGTCATGGTTGAACAGGTACTTAGAACCCCGAGATTCTCCGTGGAATTCTGCGTGAGAACCGGCAGGAGTTCGGTCCCTCCCATCATCTAAGATCCTGAAAACAGTCACATTTCCATAGAGTCACATAGGCCAGGCTATAGGCCTCAGGCCCTAGAGATTTGCATACTAATGAAGGCCAGAGGGCAGAGCAAATTAAACATTCCTCCCCCAGATCCTCCCCCAATCCTCCCCCTTTCTCCCTCTCTAACTCAGGACTGCCCTGAGTATTGAGGGGGTACGCCTAGATCCATCTATTATCCGTCATGACAATAAATCTTTTTGGAACCAAAGACTTCCTCGTGTTACTGGGGCCTGCCACCGCCAAGGCCCTCAGGCTGCTGGAACCATAAGAATCCTCCTCCCTGATGTGGGACCCGCCATGGCTGCGCGAGCTTGCGCTGCTGTGGCGGCCTTTTTTAAATTTTCCGGACAAAGGAGGAGAGAGTAAGCGGAGATGGAGTGGGAGAGGAACAGGAGGAGAGCACAAAAGAGGAGGGAGAAGGAGGAGAAGGAAGCAAGGAGGAGAGGAACAGCAGCAACTAGAGGAAGCCACCACCAGGGTGGCTATGTCTGATATTTAAAAAAAAAATTTCCAGAATCTTGTCCTCTTCTGTTGTCTTTAATGTGGTTGCGAGATTTAATATAATGATACCAATGTGCGTTTCTTTAATTTTTCATTGTTATAAAAGTGTTAGCACCAGAAAACAGAACACCACATACCAGGGGAACACATGGCTCCACTGGAGGCCATCTGGCTTGTTTCCCTCCTGGTGCCAGGCCACTATCGGAATGCTCACCATTTACATTTATAATTGCATGCAAGTCGAAGGATAGGTAACTTTCCCACTTAGTAAACAAACAAAAACAAGCAAAACTAAACAAACCATTGCAGCTTTACTATTTGGTTCCTACTCTGAAATCATCAGTACTCAAGGAGTTCATAGCAGGAAAGATGGGAGAAGCAAGCAGACAAAACAGTGTGTGTCCAAGGGAGATGTGCAAACAACTTGAAAAGGATTCCCACAGAGGAGGTAATGTGAATTATCCCTTGGGGGAAGAGGAAGGTTTTCCAGGAATAGAGACTGGACATTATAAAAGGAAGGAATACAATTGCTGCAAAACAAGAAACTGCCCTGAAACTCTTGGCGAAGAACAGCCATTGCTGTATTGTCTGTTAGGATTCTCTTAGCCAAGTTTGCAGAAAGGACATGGTAAAGATAGCTTGTTTCTTCTGTAGTTTCTCAGGCATTGGCTGGAACAAAGATGACAGTTGATGTCAGCTTGGGGCTACTTTCAGGCTTATTATTTCCTCTGTTTGTGATGGTAGATGGGCAGATGTTGCTTTTGTGGCTGAAACCCACGTCCAGTCTCTGCTTGTGCTGCCTCACAATATGGTAGTTAGCTTCTAAGTGCAAACCTTGCAAGCGAACACTCATAGGTGTATAGGTTATATAATCCATTTTGGCCTAGCTGTGTGAGACACGTGGTGTGATTTTACTGCGGCCACAAGCTGGTCTGTATACAAGGGGAAGGGTCACCCTGAATGGGAACATGGCAAAGCTACACTATAAAAAGGGCATGTGAGCTGGAAGACATTGTGAGCATCTTCAGAGTCACAGACATCATATCCAGGTAGATGAGTAGGATTGGCTTTAGGTTGTAGGGACAGACTGATGGCTGACTGCCATGACAGAATGGTCCTGTGAAAAATTTCAGACTAAGTCTGGAAGGTTTACACGACAGACAATGTGATTTGTACCATATTCTCCTTTGCTCATTAGAGAAGCTTCTAGATATACATATAGTCCCCCTTCCATTTAGAGGAACAAAGGAGAGGGCAAAAGAGTGCATGTGTCTGAGGGAAAGGAGGACAATGACAATGGGCAAGAGTGTGAGCAACTAACTAGGACAAAAATCAGACAGGGCTGGCTGCTGACCTCACGATCATTTCCAGTGTGTCTGCATGCCCCGGTGACAAGCAGCTGAGGTGGGTCCGGGGGGAGTGAGCAAATGACAAAGGTTCGGAAGAGGGCTGGCAGGCTGCTCTGGAGTCATGTGGTGACAG